CGGGAAGACCTCCTTGCGGCCTTTCAATATATAAAGGGGGCTTCTAAGAAAGGAACAGAGAGACTTTTTACAAGGCCTGCAGTGACAGGACAAGGGGCAAATGGCTTTAAACTGAAAGAGGGTAGATTTAGATTGGACATGAGGAAGAAACTCTTCACTGTGAGGGCGGTGAGGCACTGGCACAGGTTGCCCAGAGAAGCTGTGGATGCCCCATCCCTGGAAGTGTTCAAGGCCAGGTTGGACGGGGCTTTGAGCAACCTGGTCTAATGAAAGATGGCCCTGCCCAAGGCAGGGGGGGTGGACTAGATGATCATGAAAGGTCCCTTCCAACCCAAACCGTTCTGTGATTCTATGATTTTCCAAGTGTACCTTAAGAAAACTTAAGCTGTCTATGCACAATGATAAATATACTCAGCCTTTTTAGTTTCTTAGTACGTGGTGAAGGTTCCTCTGAACCCTTTCCAAATGCTCAATGCTTTTGTGGCTATGTAGAAAGCAGAACTTGGACACCGCTGTACTGAAAATCATAAGCAGATAATGTTGGTTGCGAGCATCTACTTGAGTCCCCTTCTGGTGACGTCTTTGTACGCTGGTCTGTTCCGAGTACCTGTTCATCTGACTCAAGCCTTTTTCAGAGCCATGTCTCTCAGGATTGTTTCCTCTCTCGTTGTGACTTGTACAAGTTCCTATGTGCATAACCTTACTTAGCTAAATCACATGCTCTTAAGGTACGATCATGTTACCAAATAGTTCATATTACTGTATGTTAAAACTGAGATTCCACCATATTTTTTATCTGCAAATTTTACAAGGTATAATTTGGTGAGTGTGTATATGTTTTTCTTATTAATCACTGATCTATTAACTGTCACTGAATCAAAAGTGCCTCCCCACAGAACCCTACTAGAAGGACTTACACCGAATTCTTAATTCATTATTACTTTTCGGTAACTTCTGCAATCCAGTTCTGGGGTATCAAATATATTTCCTTTGGAATATAGTAGAGAGCTAGTGCTATACTGGTAGACTTCTGTGTCAGCTTAATTTGTAGCCTCATAAAGTCAGCAAATTCTGTTACACTAGCACAAAAATCTGTAGGTTTTGGGGGATTAATTGTGTCAGCACAATTAATTCAGTATGTATTGCATCTGTGCAAGCTTTACCATGATTCTTCCTGGTACTGGTCAGGCTAAACAACCACTTTCATGTAAATCTGTTTATTCCTACAAATTACACTGACACAGCTTAGGGTTTTTTGCCAGTTTTAAAATGAAGACACTGTCGTCTTCTGCTTTAGTGCTTCAGAAGTCAGGGGCGAAGGGATCTGTCTGTTGTATAAATCCAAGCCAAGCTTGGGGACCCTGAGCTCTTATTAGAGCATCTCTTAGGACTCTTGGTCACCTATCAATAAATGAGAAACATAGCTCAAAGGGCACCTTATCTACAGATTCAGAAAGTGACAAGTTCTTGCCTATAAGATACAGTATTCTTTTGCTTCCCTTTCAGCAAACTCAGTAAGCTGGAGCACTTGGAAGAGCTGAATCTGAGTGGCAACAAACTGAAAACAATTCCCACAACAGTGGCAAACTGCAAGCTACTTCATACACTTATTGCACACTCTAATGAAATCAGCATCTTTCCAGAGATCCTGCATTTGCCCCATATTCAGGTATTCTTATGGAGAAGGTAAAGAGGTATCAGGGGAAAGTTTGGGTTGGAGAATGAAGAGTAACTGCTAGGAGAGGGACTGGAGATCCCAGCATTTTGCTTGATCAACCTGAGAAGAGGGCAGAGAATATGCATTTTAGATCTGTCGCCTTTCAGTGTTGATCAAAGATGACTCGTCTCTCATTCATCTTCACCATCTCTGACTTGGCTTATTTCTGGTTTACCATTTGAGACAGTAAGGAATGTTATGTAGCTAGGCAGGTTTGTATATATAGTCTTTCTATTATCTTTAGTGTGACTGTTCTTTCAGTATTGGAGTCCTGGCTATTGTTGTAAGTGTTTGCTGCTTATAAATCGTTCTTCTACTGATAGGTCAGACCCATTTTCATGACCTGTTTGTGGGATACAATCAGTAGTGGGGTCATACGGTGTTTGGAAGGAGCACTGGAGGAACTGATCACATGAGAGAACAGAGAATATTTTCATTGCCATTGTGCTTTTTTTGATACTGCAGTTTGTGGACTTGAGCTGCAATGAGTTAACTGAAATCCTAATCCCTGAGGCACTGCCAGGTGCCTTGCAAGAGTTGGACCTGACTGGAAACACAAACCTGGTGCTAGAACATAAGACACTGGACATCTTCAGGTGAGCCATGGAGACGCCACCCCAGTAGTGACCTTCCCAGGAGGGGAAATGCGATAGGAAAGTGTGTATCGCAGCACTGCAAGATGTTATAATGTTCCCTGCCTGAGGCAGCTGAAGCTTTCTGTCTTGTAGGAAGGGAGGAGTCTGCGTCCAAATCATCAGAGCAAGCAAACCATTTCTCAGGTGGTATGAGGTTCTCCCAGCTGTCTCTGGCATAAGCAGACATGTCCAGAAGGCCAAGACCTTAAACTCTTCTCCTGGGTGCAGTTCTTTCCACAGGCTGCTGTCTAAAACTCTAGACTGGACAAGGTCCTTTGGCCACAAGCTATTCAGCAGGGTCTAGGAGAGAATGACTTGTGTTCTTCTCTCTCTGTAGTCACATTACCACACTGAAGATCGATGCTAAGCCCTCCCTCACGGCAGACTCAGCACTCACTTCTACTTTCTGGAGTCACGGAGTAGCTGAGATGGCAGGCCAAAGAAATAAGTGAGTATTGTGGTCTGCTGGATGCTGACACTTTGTCTTCTCAGGGTACTAGGTGGAGTGCACTGCTAAGCACCCAAGCAGACTTGTTTTGCTCAAGAGCTCATCCATCCCTCTGTTTCTCCAGATCTTCTGCTAAGTCTTGGCAACTCAAGCCTCCACATTGTCCTTTCCCTCAGTTTTCATGCTTATCCTGGGATGCTTGGACTTTGCTTGCCACCCTAGCAGAGGTGCTTTTTCTTTCTCTTGCCAGCTGTGCCCGTTGCCCTCTCCTGAGTGTGGTCAAGGAGGGTTCAGGAGTTCCAATAATAAACTGCGGTTGTGCATCTCATGGGGCAGTGAATGTAGGGACAGTGGCTTTGCTGCCCTGTGAGAACAGCCCTCATGGCAAGGTGCCTGATGGCTGTGCTTTTGGGGACTGTATAATTTTTTTGAGATGTATTAACTTTGCTTGTATGCTTTTCTGACAGGCTGTGTGTGTCATCTCTGGCACTGGGAAGCTTTGCAGAGGGGCTGGAGGCTGTGTATGGCATGTTTGATGGTGACAAGAACGAGGAGCTGCCACGCTTGCTGCAGTGCACCATGGCCGATGTGCTCCTGGAGGAGGTACAGCAGTCAGACACCATGTTCATGTCCAACACCTTCTTGGTCTCCCACAGGTAGGACAGTGAGCAAGCTGGTCCTGGTGGGACCTGCATAGGTGTATCGCTTAATGTGTTAGGTGGGGTGAAGCAGCCCTCCAGAACGCCTGTCACTGGAGTCTGGAGCCTTCCTACACCTTCTCCTCCAACAGGAAGCTGGGCATGGCTGGGCAGAAGCTGGGTTCCTCTGCTGTCCTTTGCTATATTCGTCATGATGTGGCCGATCCAGCCAGCAACTTTTCTCTGACGGTGGCCAATGTGGGGACGTGCCAAGCCATTCTGTGCCGAAGTGGAAAACCACTGCCTCTCTGCAAAGTCTTCAGCCTTGAACAATGTGCAGAAGAAGCCAAGAGAGTCAAGGAGCAAAAAGCCATTATAACAGAGGTTGGTTTGGACCCTCTTCACTTCAGCTTCTGCCCTCCCATAAAAGTTTGGTACGAATACATGAGCTCTGCTGCTTGCACAATACTACAGGGGAGAGGATGGCATGTAGGTGTTCGAGTGACTTGTCTGTTGCTTCCTACTCGGCTTCTCTTGCTGATTAGCTATTCAGAATTACATGTTCCTAAAACACCCATTATGGCCTGAGAACTACAGGTACAGGTTGCCAAGGATGGCTTGGGGAGAGAGGGAGGAAAGAAAATAGGTGTGGAACTTGGGTGAGTGTGGAGAGGAGCAGCTGAAGAACAGAGCAGGTCCTGGGAAGTCATCTTGTCTCAAAACCCATGAAATATCTTTGGTGTTTCTTGAAAAGTATGATTCAAGTTACCCGTCTTTGGAGTTCTTCCGTGGTTTACTCAGTGAAGGTACAGGATTAGTGGCCTTTGAGACATGCAGAACATGGATATAAAGTATATCACAGGTAAAAATTTTAGCACAAAAAAGACAGAAATGTTCATTAGTTTTATGCGGATGTATTAAAATGATTTCTGGAGAACTCTCTAAAGGTTAACTTTCTAAACACTTGGAAATAACATGGAAGTTCCAAAGAACTGACTGGAAAATACGTTGCCGGCAAAGATCCGAGAAATCAGTGCCAGTCATATTAGTTTTATGCTCAGTGGGTCTTTTAAAAAGTATCAGGTTTTTTGATAAAAGTGTTTCTGACAGGGATAATCTCTTAATGTGTTATAGCTCTGCAAGGTGCTATATTCCATAGCGCTCTGACTAAAAATAACTGTGGAATCAACGTAGCATGTTAAATGGTTTAAAAAATGGCTGATGAACGGATTCTGAAAAATAAAAGTGAAATTATTGTCTAAGGAGACTTCCCTGCATGTGTCCTCTGCTGGTTTTTAATACTTAGCAGCAGCAGCAGCAACGTTTAACACCCAGAGGATATGGAAAGTAAGAATACTGAAATTAAATTCAGAACACTGGGGAAGCTGTGTACTCTGTATGCACCAACTTGGAAAAGGGACTGAGGGCTGTGGGCAGTTTTCTCTCCAGGAGACCAGTGCCCAGCTGGCCAGGGGACATTCTAGCAGGAACAGGAAGGAGGTAATGCCTCCAGGTTACAGCAGCAGTGTGAGACACCTACTTGTTCTTTTCTTCCTCAGGATCTGGTGTCCACACTTCAGAATGCACTTATATGTTAATAAAGAGGGAAATAGTTCAGAAAATACACAGAAATTATTTAATTTCTGGATAATCTGCCTTGCGATGAGAAAGTAAAAAGTCACTGTCTCGCGCATACTGAAAAAAACAAGTTTCATGTAAAACTCACGAGTGAGATTCTCTGATCAATGTGCTGCAGGTAGGCTAGCTGCGCATTTCAGAGTAGTTTGCTACAATTCTTCAGAATGTGACAAAAAGTCTTGTGGAATAAAAGTTTGTTATTGGCAGCATGAGTGATGGGCAATCACTGTACCTGATGATCAGCTACAGCGAATGCCTGTGCTGTGGTACCTGGACCTAGATCCCTCTCTCCTGTACTGTAGCTGTGCACTGGCATTTCTCGAGGCTCCAAACCAGTATATGGGCAGGGGAAAGGCTGCTCTCCAAATGACGTAATAGCAGATGTAACGCTACTGCCTTGTGTCTCTTGTGTGCAGGACAATAAGGTCAACGGTGTGACTTGCTGTACTCGGATGCTGGGCTGCACGTACTTGCATCCTTGGATCCTGCCCAAACCACATGTCAATTCCATTCCACTGACTGTACAAGATGAGCTGCTACTTCTAGGGAACAAAGCTCTCTGGGAACACCTTTCTTACACAGAGGCTGTCTCAGCTGTGCGCCACCTACATGACCCGCTAGCTGCTGCGAAGAAACTCTGCACTTTAGCCCAAAGCTATGGTTGCCAAGACAACGTAGGTGCGATGGTGGTGTGTCTGAACATCAGTGAGGACAGCTGCACCTGTGAGATGCATGGCCTCACGCTGCCAGGTCCTGGGGGACTTAGTTCCACCACCAAGCCAGCAACACCTTCATCTAGCAGCGGAATTGCTTCAGAGTTCAGCAGTGAACTGTCTGCTTCTGAGGTTAGCAGTGAGGTGGGCTCTACTGCTTCAGATGAACACAATGCCGTTGGTCTTGATGGCAGTTTGCTACCACGACAAGAGCGACGGTGCAGCCTACATCCTGTGCCCCCCTCAGGCATCTTTCAGCGCCAACCTTCCAGTGCCACCTTCTCTAGCAACCAGTCTGACAACGGTCTGGATAGTGATGATGAGCAGCCTGTGGAAGGTGTGATGACAAATGGCAGTAAAGTGGAGGTAGAGGTGGACATCCACTGCTGTAGAGGAGAGGGCCTTGAGGAGTTTGAACCTCCTGCTGCGGAGCACAGCTCCTCTGCTCCAGGCCCAGAGGATGACTCTGGGCTTGTCCTCGTCATTCGGAGACAGAACAGTGTAAACAGCAACACTGTGCAGAAAGGGGTCAAGGAAAAGTGTGAACTGCAAAAATCTCTTTCCACATGCTGTCTCTATGGAAAGAAGCTTTCCAATGGCTCCATAGTGCCCTTGGAGGAGAGCCTCAACCTCATCGAAGTAGCCACAGAGGCACCCAAGAAAAAGACAGGCTATTTTGCTGCTCCATCCCAGATGGAGCCAGAGGATCAATTTGTTGTGCCACCTGATCTGGAGGAGGAAGTGAAGGAACAAATGAAGCAGCACCAGGAGCATGGAACAGATCAGGAAAAGAAAGAGGAACATGCAGCAGCTCTGCCAGAGGAGTTTGACACAGCTTTGTAACCCTGCAAGTACTGCTCCCACATTGTCTGTCCCAGGAATCTCTGTCCCATAAGGGCCATCTTGCCCTCCAAGGGGAGCTGGGATCTGCAAAGAGTACAGGCATCTGCTGCTTCCTTAATGGAGCTGAGGAAGAATTGGGAGTGCTAAGGTCTGGGCTGTCCACTTTTCACTGTAGAGTCTCAGTTGTTCTATGAGCACTCAGACCAGCAGCTGAGCTGTGTGTTAGGGACTGTCTGGAAATAGTGCAAGCACTAGGAAGAAGGCAGGTGTTCCAACACCTGCCTGTAACTCCTTGAATCCTGAGGTTCTGCCAGCTCTGCAGGAAAGGGGCTGGGGCGGGGAGGGGGCGGGGGAGGAGGCTGCTGAGGGGGCAATGTTCAGTGTTTGGAGTCCTGTGAATATTTCTGCAGCCCCTCCCTCCCCCCCAGCACCTGACTTTGTTATTCCTTGAAAGAATACAGCCAGTTGCAATGAAGCTGACCGAAGAATGGTTTCCTGCATTAATTGCAAGCACTTTTATTGATTGCACTTAAGCTGCTCTGCTTCCCTTCAGCCCAGCACTTTATTGTTTAGGGTTAGAGGAGAGAGCGCTCCACAGCAGCTGTGGTGGGGGCTTTTCCCAAGGGATATTGTTAGGGCAAGGGAGGACTCAGGGTACCAGTGTTCTGATGAGCACTGGTGCAGGGTAGAGTGAGGGTTGTGATGGGATCAGCCTATGGAGGATGAGAGAATGTGCAGCTGAATGGTAAGCAGGTGCCTACTGATGCATTTTACATGCAGCATAGGAAAGATCAGCTCTGGACTGACCGATTAAGGTCATGTGTAGAGCTAGTGCTTCTAGCTGCAGAACACAGACCCAGCTCAGCAGCAACTTGGCCACCTGCACCATGGATGCTTCACAGTAGAGGCTTCCTGTATCCAGAAGACATGGGATGAAACCCGGAGCTCGTGGTTGTTTCAGTGAGGTACTCAGTCTAAGATGAAACCAAGTTGTAAGCAGTGGTATGCCGCTCTAAGGCTAGTGAGCAGTGGGGCTGCCCTTCGTAGGCTGGGGAAGCGTTCAGTGCTCTGTTCCACCGACATAAACCTCTGCACTGCCAGCTACAGCATCTTTGCTTGCCTCTGAAAACAGGAGTCATATTCCAAATCCACAGCAACCTGCATTTCATGGTACGTGCCCAATTTGGCCACAAAGAAGGTGAAAGCATACTTGTTTCTGCTTAGCTTTCAATGCAAAAGGAAAAATGGAACTTTTCACCTTAACAGCATCTTTATCAGCACTGGAAAATATGTTTAAAACAGTCCTGCTAATAGTGAATTGGCCAGTCTGCACTCGGCAGATGCATTGTGTTTCCATTAGGGTTTTTGGTGCAGGGTGTCGGTTGGCTGCCTCCGTCAGCATCTTGGTTAAGGGGTGTGAAAAGACCGCTGCCCCTGTAGCGTGCAGATCCGTCTGCCTTAGCTGGCAGAGAGCTGGACAGCAGCTGCACCGGTCACGTCAGTGGTGCAATAATCCTGACTGTAATGTGGGCTAGTGCCTTTTCTTCTTTATGAATTCTATTTATGAAGAAAACTTGAAAGTTTCTTCTCGAGCTCTGAGGGGCTTGAGTTGTATATTTTTGGATCAAATTCAGGCCTTGCTCAGAAGGAAATACTGTGCAGACTACTTGTGGGATTCTGTCAATATATATCTTTTGACAAAATCTAACGGAGTTTTACTGAGATTTCAAAGCACCTTGAATTTCTTCTCACTATGAAAAAACGTATTTTTACCATGCATATGAGAGCAACATTTTAGGATATACCTTGTGCTAGTTACGGTGTAATCATGAAACAACCCAACTTTTTCCAAAGTTTAAACTCACACAAATTTTGGCTGTTTAAATGCCTGTTTCATTTGGAAATTGAGAAAAAAGGTAATTCTTAGAATGACAGAAACAGCAGCATTTGAATCCCTTAGGCAGAGAAACAACAGCAGAAAAGATTCAGAAATTAAACCCCAAACCTCTTTCATGTTCTCTTCGTACAAGTATGCGGAAAAGGCTCATCCCAATGTATCTGACTGTCACTTGCTCTGTCACTGGTGATAATTTTACCCGTGCCCAGCCCAACACTTTCTGATACCTGATAGGGCTGCAAAGCAGCCTCTGCTCAGTGTGGGACTGATGCAGAAATACACTTTTCTTTCTGAGTAAGACTGTGACAAACCTTGCACTAGGAGAGTGGCAGATGTTAATGCAAATCAGGTCTCTCTTTCTTGCACTGATGTGGAAAATCCAGTGTGTCCTTGCCAGTCTGAACCAGTAGCATTGCACGGCCACTTGGCATTGCCACAGGGAGTTAGTCGTGAATGGCTCTACCTAGCTCAGTGGGGAAGGACTAAGTAAATAAAGCTCTGCAATGGAGCGTGCAGACTTCTGAGCTGCTCCTCTTCATGGGAGTGGCAGAATGCAATGCAAGGAATTCCTGCTTAGCCTTTTTCTCCAGTGCCATTTCTGGTTTTGAAGCAGAAAGGGAGTTTAATACTGCCAGCTCCTATTTTCTATGGGCGTGAAGTGTCATGGCAGAACATGGCTTGTTCTCTTACCCTAGGTAGAGTCCACAGCTTTCTCTGCCTAAGCTGATATTATGAACTGTTTGTCTTAACTCCAGGCAGCACAGCCTGAGTGCTTCCCTCCACCACCACCTTTTGTTTTCCTGCCTGCCTAGAGGCAGCAAGCTTCTCCTTTGTCTTCCTCGCCTTACCTCTTAACACCACCTTAGATTTCAGGCTCTCTAGGAGCACTGCTGTAGGTGGAACAGGTATGAACGGGCAAGTCTAGTGAAGGACTCGTAGCAGGGGATAGCAAGTGTTTTCCCAGTTCTCTTCCTGTTCTCCTCCAGTCTCTCCCCTGATTTTTGTATGAGGTTCTTGCACAGATACGTCATCTCCACAGAGCCACATCACTGACAGTGTCCCGTTCCTTAACAGACTTGCTGTTAGAGAGGTCTCAGCTTGGGGTCATCAGGCTCTCTTGTCCCTGCTGAGCAATGCCAGACCTGCCGTGCTCCATGCTGCCACAACCAGGTTATGCTGGTGAGTTGGTTTGTCCCCCTCTTCAGTAGTTCTGGCTCTGCTGGTCAGCATGCTCACCGAGAACAGGCACTCTAAAGGCACTGACCTGTCTGCCCTGTCCTGCCCAGAAAGGCTTCCACAAAAGGAATCCATAAAGGTTAGATTCAGTGACGAGTAGTTGGGGCCCAAGCATTAAGGATAAGGGATAGCCTCCAAGTTGCTCCCGGCACCAGGAAGAGGCCTGGTGGAGGCAGCGCCACAGACTGCTGGGACCTGATCAGAATCCTCAACTGGACGGGAGGGTAACATCCTGTTCCAAGAAGGAGCGAGTATTTCCCTTTCTCGGGGACAGGCTGCTGTGAGGCCTGAAATCCTTCTAATACACGGGACATTCGGCCACACCCAAGGCCCTTGGCCTTCAGGAGTTCCTGCACTCCTTCCAGATGGCGATGGCTTTCGTGTCACTTGCCAAAGGCCGCCTTCAGGCAGTGGCTTCACCTCTTTGGTTTTGTGCAATCCTTGTCTGCTGTTCCGTTGCTGTCGGAAGACTCAAGGGTATTTTTTCATCTTTTTTCACATTTTAAAATGTTACTTTTTTTTTAACTTGACTCATGTGACCCAGTGCATGTTAAAGAAATATTGCAGCACACCAACTGTTTATTAAATAATCTTTTTTTCCATGTTTTTTGTTTTAAAAAGGAAAGTATTTTCTGTATCCCGCTCTAGCATGCACCTATAATAATCCCCATTTTTATCGTGTATGGGAGTAGGTTGTCCGATGAATGCACCTTCAGCACTGTGGCCTATGTTTGTATTGCTTTGGAGAGGCAAATAACAGAAGATTGCTGGAAAACACTATTCCATTGATTCTTTATTCAGATGTATAGAGCAGTCCAGGAAGGAAGAATATTTTTGCATCAACTTCTCAGCTGACTTAGCAATAAAGATTTTTACTTTCATCTAACTATATATTCTGATTCCGTTACTGTGCTGGAGGGAATTTGTGCAATACCCCAGTCAAACATAGCTGTGGCTAGCAGCAGCTGTGCCGTAGGGTCTGCGGCTGGAATTCATAATACAACCAGTAGGCAGCTTTCCGTGTCCTGCCAGGAGTCCTGCCCTGTGAACTTGCTCTCAATGGTACTGTGCAGCGCTCTGGAAGTAGCTGCAGAAAGCAGGAAATACAAAAGCATTAAAAGCAACAGGGCCACAGCGGCCTGTCCACACAGATCCCTGCAGGGAAACGCTCCATGCCTCTAGCTGCTGAAAGGGAGGAGAAATCAAACGAACGCCAGAGTCCCCGGTGTGTTCCTATTTAGCCTTTGTTTTACTTTTGTATCTCTAGTTCCAACAGTGTTCCACGGTTTTGGTAATTGTGAGGATTTAGTCACTGGTGCCAGTGAAACTGGAGATAGATCCGAAACAAAGCATGTTTCTGCTATGTTTAGTTTGGTGGTTGGTTTGTTTGGGTTTTTTTTTAATACGGGCAGAACTGGTCTGTGAGACCAGTGGTGGTTCCGTCTTCATAGGGGCAGTGCACGTAGTGGGCACTGCTCTGAAGGGACATTTCATTCTGAGGCATGACTTTGTGATTCTAGTGCTACTTTTATTTTCCCTGTTACTTTTTTTTTTAAAACTTTTATAGAAAACTTAAATTTTACCTTTTTTTAAATAAATATTACAAGAGCAGCATCTCATTTCCCCGACTTGTACATTAAAAATGTATTTTGAAAACAATATACTTCTCTCTTAAACCACCTGTTTGAGCTCTTAAAGCTTCTGTCTGATTATCCCAACTCAGGGCACCTTTTTAAGCAAAACTGTTGTATACAAGTTATACAAAAGACCATTTCATACAAAAATGTGCCCTCTCCAGGAGAGTTTGAAAAGGTACTGTGTCACAAATTAGGCTGAGCGTATTCATCATTTTGCAAGTTTCTTTCAGGCTTCTTTGATGGCTTTATAAATGCCGTGTTCAAACTGCCCCGTTAGTTCCAAGGGACCTACAAGAAAGCTGTAATTAGCTGCCACAACCACAGGCCTCGCTCGCTCATTTTTAAGAGCTCTGTTGTCAGTGAACAGTCGCATGCCTGTTGTAAAGACAGTTTGAGCTACAGAAAGCTGTTATCAGCAGAAGTGTGTAGTAGCAGTACTTGCAGCAAGACCTCGCTGGAGCAGACGGAGACACCCGGCAGAGGGGAGGGAAAGGCCACCTGCGAGGCAGGCAGCTTGCTAGCCGACTACACGAGGGCAGTCGTTCTCTACTAGGAGACAGCTACAGGATGAAGACAAGCCATCGGACCAACTTTGTGTCCGCTAGTAATGCAAATTCAGGTTAGGAACAGCTTGGCTCTACCGTATTTAGAGCTGTACTCTCTGAGCACGTGTTCTGCTGCAGCATTAAGGATGCAGTGCCCAGATGCAAGGAAAAGCATACTGCTGCGTTTCAGTAAGGAGGCTGGCAAAAATCATGACCGTTACTGGAGCAGAGGAATCATTCTAAAGCTCATATAATTGTACTGGCTTCTGTTTCAGTTTGTGAACTGTTCTGTACCCCCTGACAGCTAGGCCTGCACTGAACAGGTATGCCACGACAGCTACACAGCCCGAGAGGCCAGCAGCGATCTCTGCCCCGTGCAGGCTGCACCTAAAGCCCTGATAGCCTTTGCTTTGATAAAGCTGCTCTCGCTCTTTGCACACTGATGAATTATAAACCCCCAGCAGAAAATGGAAGAAGTAGTACAGAGCAGGCACTAGGCCAATTGCAATCACTGTGTCCAGGCTGCATTCAAGCAGCAGCCATGCTGGGAAATGCCATGGTAACCGCAGAACACCAACCAACATAAGAACACAAGAGAAGACCAGGAGACACCCTCCCACGGCCATTGCTGCCCTTGCAATCGGCAGCTTGAGCAGGTAGAAACGCTGGTCAAGCTGCTGGGCTCTCTCCCCGTCTGCTCCGCTAAAGCCGCTGTAAGCCCCGCCGTACTGGTAGTAGTAGATGCCCCCCAGGCTGGGAAGGGCCGTGGAGCCTCCCGGCGAGC